GTATGAACATTTCCACTGGCACATACTAAAGCTAGAAGCTACCACAATGCAACTTGTTAACAGTAGTCGGTATTACTCTATTCCGACATGGAGTCTTCACCTTTCCAACTGAATTAGGCAACTCATCGAAGGTTGGATTCACATTTGACCTGAGTTAAAATTATCAAGAATGAATGATTAGGTTATAGTCATAAATGTAATGATGAGAGATATGAGTCACCGGCAGAACCTTCCATCGCTTTCAAAATCAGGCACCAAGTGCGATCAAGAAGCTATTATTTTTCCACAAGCCAAACGCATAGGTAAAATGTTCAATTCAAGCGTAGCAAAACGTTCTGAATGATTTCTCCTTGAAGATTCATTAGCCTTATTGATTATCAGCTTGAGGCAAAGCTCATTTATAAATTCAGTTAAAATAATGCCGTCTATAGGTCGATTATACGAAGGAGCGTGCGATCACGATTGAAGTGCTACAACAGCCGTAGGAGCAGATGGTGGTAAGTGGTAAGTAGGATAACAACTGTGAAACATAACCGTGTTGAGACCTAAACATACACCACCAGCTTAAATACGCAAACTTGAGGGTACGTGGTCACGTTGTCCTCGCTACAACGGCTATTTGAACAATGACAGCGTCATACGAAAGCAACAAAGTTAGACTTTGATCTTTGGTTATGCTGGTAGTGGAACACTGCTAAACAATTACATGCTGACAAAGATATGAACAAACTAAAAGCAATAGTTTTACAGCGCCTATCTTCGCAAAATGAAGCATTACTTAGACGTGCAAACAATTAAAAGACGCTTTTTTGAACCTGCTAAACAAAAACTATTGATTTACCCAGAAAACCGAAACTTGAATAAGTATCAATTGCAAGTGATCAGAGCTCAGCAAAAGAACACCCATAACATCAGCATGTTTGGTTTATGTTTTAAAAAGCATGCTTACTTTGACATCAGTACCATCAGTTGGCATGAATTCCTCATAGAGATAAGAGCCTTCAGTGCGGATTGTACTAATTTGGAAATATTTACTACTTCGGTCGCCGACTTTGCGGAAAAGACGCTGGCTACCACCTCCTGCACTGCTTGGAAAGTATATGTATATGTTGTGGTCTTCGGCATTCAAAGGTTTTTCAACAAATGGTTTGTGAAATATTTCACCATCTATCTGCGAATGATAAAAACATAAGTAGTGATAAAGACAAATGGCTGTGGAATTGGGACCGAAATATCAACTCACTTCAATAGCGTCATCGTGTTCAATAACATTAACGCGGTTGCTGGGATCTCCTCTTTCAACACAAGCATAACGTGGAACTGGAATGCCTTCCATTTGTAAGCACTCATAAACTTTTTTTCTATCCATCAACACGTATTGAGCTTTAAGATCATTCACTAAATAAGGTCTTCTTAACTCGGCATAGGCGATCGCCTTCTGAAGAGGGAATCCGTCGGAGTAGAAACTAATCAAAGCATCACATAGAGGCCACGCTTCGATAGGATGCTTTAAAATAACCCTTTCTTCAAAGACTATCACTTTGATGTGTTGGAATTTCTCTAAGCGACGAAGGATTTCCTTCATCGGCTTTGATTTCGTTTTCTTTGCCATTGCACAAACGCCGAGAGTGATGAAAACAGAGCCATCATCACTCTGGTTTTCAACTATTGTCATTTTGCGACAAAATTATGAAACAATAACTAAAGCATGGGTTAACTGTGACCTAACGACCATAACGACGTGACTACAAAAGATACAACACCAGCCTTCACATTGCGAACCACCAATCAAATCAATCAGCCAATCACCTTGCAGACATGCATTAGCGAACCAGGAAAGACCTTAAACTCATTCGGCGACTATAAGACGCGTAGTTAATTAAAAGACCATACTAAGGTCGAAAAAAATTAATAAAATACTTACAACATAACCAGATCTTTTAGTTTCATATGGCAGATATAACATTTCAAAGCCTTACGATGGCGGTCTCAAATTTAGTGATTACTTGCGTATTAGCAACAGCGAACGCCCCAAAAGGAGGCTCGTTAAATGTGTACGAACCATATCATTAGTTATGCGTTTTCATATAAATAGATATAACCACATATTTTAAAACAACAAATCGCAGTTAATTGAGATTATTAAAATGGCTTCGCCAAGCCTCATAAAACCGGTTTTTGGAAAATTTTGCAATGGGATAACAGTGACGAAACCCTGTTAAAGGAGTGCATTTACATGTTGTACAATTAATACTTATATCCTGCAAAGCCAGTTAGGCATCCAAAAGCAATCGAAAAAACGAAATGTGAGGAAACGAAAACATCCATGCGGGAGAACTACTCCAGAACTATCTGAGAGCTATCAAATCACTCAACATCGCGAATTTGGTGTAGAAGACATAAGAATCGTTTGAATATACATAGTAAGATAAAGGAAGAGAAGTTTAATTGCCTTGATATGCCTTGTATGGCACCATGCTTCTCCTCCTGTTTGGATGCTTATGGTGTAAAACTGTGTTTATGTGACCATTTTAGGATTTTTTGGGCCCTTGTACACATGGGCTGGCCTTCGGGCCATCCCCAGGCTTATTTTCCCCGTCATCATCAGAATACATGTAACCAGCTCTACTTAATGGCTTCTTACATCGGCTAGGAAGTCTCGGGACACTACATATGGGGCATGGCGACATCGTTCTCTTCCTATTACGACGTATTGTTATCGAGTTAAAGTACGGAAGGGCATGGGTTGCAAGTAAAGAAGGATGATCAAATTTCGAAGCAAAATGTTGAAATTTGGTAACCTTCAGTACATCTGACTAATCAATCGGCAATTAAACTAAAGATCAAATGCCTTTTTCTTAGTCCTTTGTGCACCCGTTTAATGGATCACTTGTAAGAGTAGATTTTCGAAAAAGAGGAAATGAGACTAATTTGTCGGCAACACAAGCGCGTGTTCTCATTTGATCCCGTGCAACATCATTTATGGTTAGTATCAATGAAATCAAACGAAGAAAATGGGTAATAGCAAAAGCACATGTACACACAAAGTGAGAAAGAGTAGAAGGGATGCAGATGAAGTAGGCCGAGGAGAGTGATGCACGTTCTTAACCGTTGCCGCAGAGCACTAGATAAGAGGACCGTCTGATTGCTGATTAAATGGAGGCAGGCAATGAGGTAAGAGATAGAAATTTAACTAAGCATTGCACCACATAGTGAAAACCGGAGGCAGGACCATCACATTCTGCCTTAAGGATACAATCGGTTGGTGTGGAAGGCACAATCGATTCAGAGTGGTATGGAATACGACGCAGAGAAAATGAACACAAATAAAGGGTACTACAGACTCAGCTAACCAAGAGCAAGATCCAATGACTAATCTAATTTTAGCTGGCCCACTATTTTTTAGCTCATGCATTTCAAAATCATTTACCATAGGAGAAAGAGAAATGGGTAAAAAAGAGACACAGAAGAATTAACTCAAGATAGATAGGCAAATCGTGAGACAAGGGCAGGAGGAGGAGAAGTCGACAGGAGAAATAGGGTGGGATGATTATAAAGGTGAGATAGTGAAAGGCGAAGATGTGAGGAGTGCGAGGAAGTGAGAGAAATGATAATTTGTGTCTGCTTCGTTAAAATACAAGCAAGACTTTCGCCAAGGAGATGCACTGTACTAAGCACTTATTCCGCTTCTCGATTCGTGATTGAAGGCACAAGGTATGCATAGTAAGAAACCATACAAATCGAAGTACTTGAGAACGAATGAAGTGAAGTACATAGGTAAGGATGCATTCACCGTAAATGCCATGGAGTGGAGTATGAGAAGACGCCAATGAACCTAGTTGCTATGTGTGTACAACGACTTCAAAACGTTACAAGGGAGAATAAAAGGCATCATAGCATGTGCTCTGAAGTTGTGTCGGGTTAATTTGGCTTACCGACACTGTTCCCCATATGAAGCTGTAACCCCTTAGCTTTGGCAAT